CAGTCTCTCTCAACCTAATATTATTAAGATAAATCCAAGTTAAAATCCACTTATCAGATTTGTCATAATAATATTTTTTTAAAAGATAATACTAGTATAAAAAGAATGACTTTAACAAATTCTAACTGATATAGTAATATCATGATGATGAGAGAATTTCAAAAAAATATAACTTGTTTCAGATTTAAGTAATAATTAGTATATTAAAGACAAAAAAAAATAAGATATCACCAAAAAAAAAATAAATAATTCATATTTTACTAATATTACTCATTAGATTTATATTTATTCTATTTTCTTAAAAGTTATTTTTTATTATACAAGTGTTTAATTTAGCAAATTTTTCTTATATCTGATAGTAAATAATGATGATTATTAAAAAATAATTTCCAATATCAGATTATTCATTTATTTCTTATTCTAAAAAATTTAATAAATAAAATTAATAATCTTCTTATTTTTGATAATTTTATTAATCTTGAAATTACTATCAATAGCATATATTAATATTAATAAAAATCCTGAAAAAATCATGATTATATTAAATCAAATTGATTATTATTTGAATAAGTGATCAAACAAATTCATAATGAAAAGTCAACTAATAATTAGTATTAGATTCACGTAATAATGAAAGGAAGCTAATTAATGTTAATAAAAAAAGAGATACAAACTGTAAAATAATGAAGATATTGACAGATAACTTGAATGATAACAACTAGAAAATCATATCTTATGTATTTGTTCTTCTTCTCGAATGAGTTAAGTTATAAATCAAGTTTAAAAGAGAGCATGTTAATCAATAATATTGAAGCACAAAATATATAATGAGATTAATAGAAAATTGTCTTAGATAATTTAAAGATTAATTAATTACATTTTGAATATTGATATAAAAGTAATAAACTATTTTTCATAATCTTCTAATAACACTTGTATTGGTTAGATTTTCATTATTACGTAGATCCGAAATTTTGTATCATCTAGGATCGGAGAAGCCGGAACCGATCGACGACGTCACGTGACACGAACTTTTTGGGGGGTCGCGCTGGTAGACTCATTACGAAATTTGTCAAAAGTCACAGGGCCTATTTCATGAATGCTCGAAAACGTTTGTTATAGAGTTTATATTAGCAGGCTAAATTCCGTTACATAAAGTCCCAAAAATTATTTGAAAAATTGAATTATTAATACATTAATTATATACTAAGGAAACCAGTAGAAAAATATACAGTTCTTTGACGAATTTACAAAAAGTTAAATAACAAGGACTAAATTACACTATATGGATATGCTATTAGTTATTAAGAAAAATTAATGTCCTTTTTGAATAATTGATATCAATGTTTTATATGAATAAGAAGGGAATATTATTATTGATTAACTTGATCGCTTAGTCGAAAATTTGCAAATATATCTTCTAATCCGGTATCGACCGATATATCAATATTGTAATCCAATGCTCGAAACTCTAAATTAGAAACATCTTTAATAACTTTATTACGTTTCATGTAGACTTTTACTTGAAGAAATTAAACTTACCGTAATCTGAATTCGCACTCGTTCCAAGTACAATTGAAGGTTTTGCTATGTTTATAATTTATGTGGGAAAAATGTCAGCATTTCACAAAAAAACAACTGGTAATAATGAACATTTTTTGTACGTACAAATCTGAGTAAAATTGTCTGTTGTTAATGAAGTAAATAAAAATGTTCCTTCTTTATAGATTTTACTGTCGGGTTTCTGACTTAGCTTGCTTAATTCAGGAAAATTTAAAAGTCTACTAGTATAAAATGCTTCAGGATGAAGTCGTTGATTCCAAACAGGCAATGCATTTTTATGTGCGGGAGAATAAGTGTACGCAATCATTTCAGTTATAATGTCCTTTTGCATATTGCTTATCTCGTCCGCACGTTTGCTCTTATCTTTTCGTACAATTCGTTTAATTGTGCCGAAAATACTTCGCTTTTTCTTGATTCTTGCTAAACCAGATTCACTAACTATCGATGACACGTCACTGGTAAAGGAGTCAGTGTCACGTATAGTACTTGAATTGTCAGTAAATACACTGTTAGTACGACTTCTTACAGAAGGCTCGCGCGAATTCCCTGAAGGTTCTACACTAAAACTAATACTAGACGAAGGCGACGACATGTTGAGGCAAGGCCAACCTTCAATAGCAACAATTATCTCATCAGCATCTGGGCGTTTAAGCGGATCCGGATCCCAGCATTCTTTCATTAACTCAATATATTGTGCTGGAGCGCCAGTCGGGATATCAGGACGTAATCCATCACAAATTTCCGTTGCTAAACTCGCGTCATGTGGTCGATCACAAAAAGGAGATTTACCCGACGCAAGCTCCCACATGATCATTGCAAATCCATAAATATCTGCAGCTTTTGTGAAACGTTTTCCTTGTATCACTTCAGGTGACATGAACGGAAGTACCCCATAAATTTTTCCCGAATCGTAAGGAAGATCCGCGGGACGGCATAATCCTAAATCACCTATTTTTAGAAACTTTTTATTTTGTCTCCTTTGATGGTTTCGGTGGTCTTTGTAAACTAGAATATTGCCACTATGTAAATCTCGATGTATTAAATTGGCACGATGTATTGTTTTTAGACCTTTGGCGATTTGTCGTAGCATTTTTCTACATACATCCCACGTTAAGCGTGTCGTAGTTTTTTGTAAATATTGTCGAAGATTACCGTCTTCTGCATATTCTAACACCACCATGTATTCGTTTTTGAAATTCTTTGTCATGCCATAGTAATGGGGAACATAATTACAACAACTTGTAGATTCCCAATATGATTTCAACTTTAAAACAAACGTTACTTTGGGAATTAGAATTATAGCATTTATTACGAAACCATTATACATAGAATAAAAAAAATGATTGTTACCTCTTTCAAAAATTCTTCCGTAGCGTTAACAGAATTCTTTATACTTTTCAATGCGACCTTGGATAATCCCCGTTTCCGTAATCTTTCTGGCGCATTATATGACCAATTAGCCGTATAGATACTCCCAAAGCCTCCTTCCGCCACAAATTGCACATCTTCCAAAAGATCATACGGAATCCATTGCAAATAACGAGACTCCGAAGTGGCTTTCAGTTGAGTCTCCCGTATAAATTCATCGATAATTGGTTTTCCACTCGTCCACAGCGAAAAATTTTTCTTAAAATGGGCAACTTGACACGTTTGACACCAGTTCGAATGAACAAGGTGTTGATGACATATTTCACATTTTTGTACGCGCTGTTCGTTATTAAAGGGGAGTGAAAATTTTTTATTTCGTTTGAATGATGTTTCCATTTAATTGACAGTGCAACGAAGTCTTTTGATTTTTACCTGCGGAAGACAAGGTTCAGTGGCTGTTTTTCGCAAGTTTAGTTGAGATCTTGCTCTCCAAATTACTTCAGTTTCCATTTGTTAAGATAAATTAACAACAGCAGCAATAATAATAATATTAATATTAATGATGAATAGATGATTGTTTCGTTTTAAGTTTTATATATATATTACAATAATTGCTGATAAAATGACATTATTGTTTCAGATTAATTGCCGAAAAATCAATCATTCTACTTAATTCAATCCTACAATATTTATATACTATAGTACATATATGCTAATTAAATATTGAAAATCAGAAAACGAGTTCTTTTTATTTTTATTTATGGTGTATTTATGTTAGTTATTCCCTCATACCGATACTGTACTGTGTGGTATGGAAACACACAATGTACATGTACATGTATAAAGCATGTATCGTGTATGAATAACATTGAGTTCCAAGTTATTTGCTTCCCTTTTTAACTTTATTTTTAATTGGTAGATCAATTTCTTCGCGTTGTCATCCACAAATACAAAAACTTCCTTTTTTTCTTTGTGTCCAATATCGAAACTGCTATCGTAGTGAAACAATGTGAATGTGATTAACTTTAGATTTTATAAAATCCTGTATTGGTACATGTATTTATTAAACATGGCGCCAAGATCATGGGAGGGAATAGGAGATTCCAATTATTATTCAAACTCCTAAACTAATTTTTTAAGTTTCTATTATCACTATACTGTATGTACCTAATATGAACCATTAATGGATAGGATAAATTCATTTTGCTACATGAAATGGAAAGAACCTGGCCATAATTTGAGAATTTTATATTCTAAATTCGAATTCCATGTTATTGTTATGCTGCCAAAGATTCTTCTTATTATGATTCATTGGCATCGGTGCGTAACAAAAAAAAAGTTTTGATCTACTGTTATATGTACTTATTGTCTGTATCTGACAATAAAAATTTCTGTATTTATTATTTATTATGTGAACAAAGAAAAAACGAAAATTCGTTCAATTACAGATTCGATCGAATACATGTACATATATTACTATTATTATTTTTTAGCGAGTCTTATTGGTAATCGTAAATACATGTATTATATGCATTAAACAAACAAATATTCATATTACATGATACGTATCGGTATTGTTCAAAAATGATGCACATTAAAAAATATACAAGTACATGCCAATAAATATTATTACAACAATATACAATCCACACGGCATCAGACAAAAAGAATCCTACTAAAAATAAACAAAGAATACTAAAATACACGAAACACTTCATAATCTTCAATAGAAAAGCAAACTTTTGTCGGTATTTTCTTTTTACCCGTAAAAATACCACCTTTAACTGATTTCGGCACATAATAACACGACCCTTCCCACCGAAAATCTCTCCCCATCATTCGTAATTCCCCTTCGTCAGCATTTCCACCAAACGACGGACCATATTCAGCACCGGCACACGCACACATTTCATGTTTTTTAACACTTGCTAACGACTTTTCAATTGAACCCTTACCGAAATCACCGAGCGAAAATATAAAAGTAAAAGGACTTTGTTCATAGAAATCTTTTGCGGGTGATGACCAGGACAAGTAATTGAATCCACCGATAATTTGTCCAGTTTCCGCAACCTTTATGAATGTTAACGTAGCTCCTTTGTTATCGCAAAGTTGATGAAATATTGTCGGTGTGAATCCGTCACGACTTGCGCGTAATAGTAGCGAATAACGGTGCCCGAGATTCGGACGTTCTAAGTCCGTTTCGGTTGTTTTTTGTCGGACAATCCATTTCTTGACAATGGCGCATTGCATATCTGTTACAAAAGTGGATAATTTACTTAGAGAATCTGTATAAATTTCAGGTGCCCTCATCAATGAAAATGGAGAAGTGGACTCAGTGGGTGAAACGTTAATTGTTTTACTAGATGTCCCTTTACGTTTTTGTTTGGGTCGGGCAGTATTAATTTTGAAACGGTCAACGTTAACCTCTATCACTGTATCGTCGTCATTTCCGGAACCTACGGACGAAGCAACGTCCGATCCGTTTGGACTGATTGTAATTATTTCATTTATATATTTGGGCTTTCCTCGAGTTGGAAGTCGTGGCGTCACGGGAACATAGTTCTTTTGTAAGTGGAAACTGACAATATCCCGAAACAATTGTTTCGGCAAGAGACTCTGAAATGGAAAAACTTTAAGATCAAAATCTTCCGAAGAGATATCAAAGAACCGAATCAACGGTATGCACGATTGCAACATTGTGCGCAATTGCTCTATTCGAGTTGGAGTCCAATTCGCATCGTCCTCGGCTGTACTATTAACTGAAGTTTGCGCAACCGCCCATTGAATCACCCGATTCCAAATATGCACTTCTTTTATCTCAAGGTCTTGGCGAGAAAGAAGTGATAAGACAGTTTTTTCATCAGCATTCAAGAATGCTCGCGAATTCAAAAATTCCTCAGGTGTATCACGAACTATCTTATCAAGAAAATCACGAAGTTTCTGAAATGCTGGGCGTGCTTCCATAATTTTGAAAGCTACTGATAAGTTTTCCGTTAACCAGTTGATCTTATGGTCAATTATATAATCTTGTAGGTAGACACACAATTCTTCGAGTTTGAAAAAATTTGATGTTTTCAAGCATTCAATTAAAAATGGGACATCATATGTGTCAATATCGACCCTTCCGGAGTAAATATACCTATATGCCAAACAACAATTATTAGTTTTTTTTTTCTTAATTGAAATAAATTAATCAAACAATACATGTACATGTACTAACTTTAGTATTACTTTTTCAAATATTTCTGGATCAATGTTTTCCAACACAATTCCATTAAATTTTTCATGATTGTTTTCAATGCTCTTCTCTTGCTCAGCATCAACCAAAGTGTCATTTGAATCATTTTCTTGTTTTTCATTATCAGTTGTATTTACATCACTGTTACTATTTTCATTATTATTGTCATCATCCCTGATATTCGATTCACCACCAGCCTCATTCTCTTTCAACTCTTCATTTATGATGAAAGTAGAAGCGTTATCTTCTTTCTTTTTCTCAACAGCGGTTATCAAGCTTGACTTTAGCGTTGATTCTAAAAAATATTCTCGAAAATATGCTGATCGAATTCGTAGTATCAGAGAATGAACTTTAAATATTTTCGTTATGCTGCTACTGCCAACTTTTATTTCAATATCTGATCCTATACCATCGCAATTATTGTTATTTTCAGCATCCAAAAGTTGAAGCAAGTTGTCGGCTAACACGTCGTAAAAAGTTGCTGGCATTATTAGATTGTTCGTTTAAAGAGAGAAAATTGAAGTAGGAAAATGTTATGTGCGTGTGATTGATGTATGCTACGCACATAGCACATGTGCTACTAAAATATTTATTCCACCCCCCTTATCGTTCATCTTTGAGTGTTATGTCACCCTGACGCTAAGGAGCGTTTACGTATTTTGTACTAATAACATAACTTGATTTAATAAAAAATTTCGATATATTTACGTTTATTATGTTATGAAGTAAGTACATGTACATGCACATGTACTATCACTATGTTATTTTACTGCGTACATGTAATTCTATAAAATAAGAATAAACTGATCATATAGATAAAATGCCATTAAAAGGTGTAAATTACCACCAAGGTGGTGGTGGCGGATGACCATGACGGCGATGATGATGATTTCCCCAACTAAACCCATGACGACCTAGTGGGTCACGATGCCGTCCGCCGCGACCATGAATACGGTGTATGAGTTTTCCGAGAAAAAGAATAATAAGTACAGGAAAAACAACAGAAAAGATTAATTTGATGACGGCAATAATAAGAATCAAAGCGATGATAGCGAAAATAGCTTTTGTTAACAAGAAAGAGAATCGAGTAGGTGCATGACCATGAGGTGACCTGAAAGATCCTGGTGGACGTCTGTGTGGTGGATCAGTCGGAGGGTGAGGAGGCAAAGGAATGTTGCCGTCAGTTAAGGGAACAGAACCACTTTCGTTTGATTGTTGTTGTGATTGGGTATTGTTTGAACCACACGCAATGCGAAGCGTGATTTCTTGGCCAAATCCTGAAAATAAAATCCATTCGTCGAAATTTTCTTGAAATAGATCCGAGATTCGGTTTGTGATATTGCCAGCAGTGCTAAAAACATTAAATGGTGTTCTCTCTTGGTCTGGTTGTTGTCGTCTTTGATCTTGTTCGTTGATTAAATTTGAATTTTCTTTTGATTCAGTTCTTTGTGCTTGTTCTTCATTTTCGCTAAGATCAATAAGACTTGCCGTCTCGCTAATAGAACTCTCAGCTGAACTTCTCTGTTGTTGCTGTTCACCTCTTTCGAAAATCCAAGAGGTATTAGGGTCATACCCAGCAAAAGACATGCTAAAAGCAATAGTACTACTATTATTACTAGCTAAAACTTCAGAAAGTTCCTCTGTGGACGACAATGTAATAATATCACCATCTTCATCTTTATACGATAAAAAGATTGGCTGTGGCGAAAGATTCAAGAATCGTTTACGAATTTGGTCTTCGAAATCATGCCAGGTGATATCTTTTGGAACAATGAATCGGCGAACAATAGAATTGAAGGATATTTTTACATCCCTAGTGTTTGTTGACGTACTGGTGTTGTTATTGTTGGATGTCATCTTTGTCGACATTTTCTCTTTGAAAATGGGAGGAGAATTTATATATTGTATCAAGCTTCTCGCAGTGAAAGATTACGTGTTTACGAAATTAAATGAACAAATAGTGATTCACAATAAACCGGTTTTATAATAACAATTTAACCGTGGATCAACAATTTAGCCGGTGCATGTCATATGGTGACGAAATATTTCAGGTCTAATTTTAGTGAACAAAATTCCTTAGAGTTCTGTGCTGGAAGTCTATTAACACATTCGAGCTAGTAAATTAGTAAAATTTCACAAAATTCGGAATTTGCGGCATGCCAAGATTTTGGTATGTTAAATCGAACTTCACAGAAGAAATTCTATTACACCCATTTTCATTGTATTATCTTCACCGTCGAAAAGGGACATCCATTTTCGCAAAAGTCTTGGCTGATATTATGTATTTCTCGTTGACGATGATTCAAACACAAGTCTGACGTTTTGTTGCTACGAGGAGATGTCGAAAGTTCGGGAACGTGAAATCTTATTCGTGTTCAACTTTTGAAAAAGCCTATTACGCGAAGTCGGCAGCTTTGGTGTGGTCAGGTGACGGGTCTTTTTTGCTTTAAATAATGCGCACCATAAAGTTATCAAAAACAGCCAATCTGTTTATAATAATAAGTTAAATCGATTACTTAATATTAACGAACGAATATAAATACAAATACTTGATTTAAAAAAAATTAAATAAATTTATTTAAAATTATGTTATCATTTGAGGTAATTATAATCGAAAAAATTAGACTATTGTTTACAATTCAAGTAGACTAATTAGGAGCCGCTAACTTTTCCGCAACCAATTCTTCAGTAAAAGTCCACAACTTTTTTGCCAATTCTTCATTTTTCGCCAATTTATTCGGCTCCGAGATTTTCGCATACGGCGTAAAATACTTTCCTCGAATATTTTTCTCTTCAATCTCGGGGCTTGTTGCTGCGTATAATTGATTCAATGACCCATCTTCGGGACTTTTCGCAAAGAGAGCATTTGATATGGAGATAATTGGCGCCGTCAAACTTGCCCATCCCTCGGTAACACTCCCGTACAACTCTGTTTTGATATAACCCGGGTGAAGAGTGTTGCAGTAGACAGCTTTGTCTTTGAGTCGCCGGTCTAGTTCCAAGGTGAAGAGAATGTTTGCGAGTTTCGATTGCCCGTAGCGTTGCCATATACCGTGCTTTTCTGTGTTGATATTTTCGAAGTCGATGCCGACACTTGGAGAAATGTTGTGTCCGAAACTATTATATTGAATTTTAAATAGTAAGAGACTATTTTGTATGTTAATTGATTCCGGTATAATTTATACCTGCTGACAGTGACAATTCTTGCAGGTGCAGACTCTTCAATTCTCGGTAAAAGCATTGTCGTGAAGAGCTATTTGGAATTTAAAGAGATCATTAGAAAAGGCAATTTATAATTAAAAGATGATTTCTTGATTAAATATTCTTACAAAATGGCCAACATGATTCGTCGCAAATTGGCCTTCAATACCATCAGCAGACAAGGCGTAAGGTCTAAAATTCGATGAAAAAACGAAAATTAGAATTTTTAAAGATCAACTCATATACATACAAGATATATACTTACGTTGCCATAATGCCCGCATTGTTTATTCTATAATCATCATAACATCAATTAAAAACACATTCTACAATATATCACTCCCATAAAAAAAAAAATAAAACTCACAAAATGTGTATCGGCAACCCTTTCTCCAAAAAAGTCTCTGCAGCCTTTTTAACCTGTTTCAAATTCTGTAAATCCAATTGCAAAAACTCTACATTCTGATTACCCGTCTGTTCTTTAATCAAGGATACGGCGGCTTCGCCTTTATCTTTGCTGCGGCTACATACAAAAACATGTGCTCCTTTTCGGGCAATTTCACGGGCAGTTATTAATCCGATTCCGGTATTAGCGCCAGTTATTAATGCGACCTTTTATGATTTGTGTTTGTTAATTTTTGTAGGAATAAAATATAAAAGAATCTAATTGATTTTTTACCTTGCCAGATAAATCTGGAATATTTTCGAAAGTAAAAGGTTTCTTGAAAAAAACCATTATAATTTAAAAATTAGGTCAAAAATTCTACAACCGTCTATCGTGTCTTGCATACGTATTTATATTTTTAACATGATAACGATAGACACAATGCACATAGCCGTCTTATCATCATGCACAAAAAATGTGTAACGGAGATTCAACGGCCGTTCGAACGTTAATGGCAATCTACGTATGCATGCATTAAGCATATTTTTTCGGTTATTGACATAAATGTCTTCATAAAAAATTTATACGAAATAATTCTACATGTATATTTGTACTGATGATGTAGTAAAGTACGAAGATAATTTTTATTAGCATTATATTTGTAAATTTATTAAGCTAAAACATGTTTAGGAATAATTTTAATCGTTGACTTGAATGTCACGAAGTTCTACGGCCTTTATTAATAAATTCTTATTTTCAGCCTACCGACACCAACAATCCATAATTCCCCTGAAAAATCAATATCTCGAAATGCTAAAATTGCATATATACTAGGGTAAGAATATGAGTTCGATTATGAGAATGTGAGTTAAAATAAGGGTTAGAGTTGGAACAGTTCTTCGTTTCTTATTTTATATGGATACATATGGGCAAATACTAGTTTTGAGTGATTAATTTTAATTGTATGCTAGTTTACAAATGGATCTTATATGAGATGATAAAGTTGACCTGTAGGAACATATCTGAAATAATAAAATGGGGTGAGATATGTGAATAACATTTCAAGTTCCTATTACATGTATTTGTTGGTATTATCTATATCACATGAATAAAAATTTCAGAATAGATATGTATCTTTATAATAATGCATATTGTTTATATCAGGCACAATTCTTAGAATAAATCTTTTTTAATTATATTTCATGAATTAAATTTTGAATTTACCTTTAGTTAAGTTTATGTAATTTATAAAATACAAATATTTGACATTAGATATTATGCATCATATCTCTTAATAATTATTTAATTTTGCTTTGTCAAAGTAGTAATCATCAAAAGATTTGATAGAAAGAAAAAGGAATTTTTAATTAATTTATTAATTATATAAAATTAATATATATTTTAAATTATTAATTTATTTATATTTTTTATTTCTTTTATTTTTATATAAATATATAAATATATTATTCTATTTATATTTATTATTAGATTTAATTATTATTTAAATAATAAAATTATAAGTTATTTATAAATTAAAATTAATTAATTAATATTTTAATTTATTTATAACTATAAATAAATAATTTATAACTTGATAGTAGTAAATAAGATTATTATATAATTTATATATTATATTTAGTTAATAGTTAATTTGAAAATATAATAAGATAAATAATAATTAATTTAAAGAATTTATAAAAATTAATTAAAATAGTAAAAAAAGAGAGTTTAACCAATTAAAAATCTTTATCTTTTCTTTTTATTAAATTATTAATTTATTTTGAAGAATTAATAGAAAGTATTCCTGTTTAAATTATATATATTAAAATTATATTTATAGCTTAGAATATTAAAAATAAAAATATTTAAATATAATATACTATTATTTTCTTTAAAAAATACTATTTTATATTAATATTTTAATAAATATAAAAGTAAAGATAATATTAAACTATATAATAACTAAAAAGATTTTATAAATATATTAAGAAAAGTCTTTTAATTATTATATATTAATAATCTCTTTATTAATTATATCTTCTTTATTAAATTGATTTTATATAAGATTATAAAATTAATTTTAGAAATATAATTGAATAATCTCTTTATTAATTATATCTTCTTTATTAAATTGATTTTATATAAGATTATAAAATTAATTTTAGAAATATAATTGAATAAATTAAAATTATAATTTAAAAATTATTACAAAAATAAAATAAATTATTAAATATTAGAAAATTTAGAGAATACTTAAAAATTAATTATTTATTATAATATAATTATATATAAATAAGATTAATTAATAAGTATATAGTATAGATATAATAATTATTATTTATATTATAGTATGAAAAAAGAAATTATTAAAATAATTAATTAATATTAATAAACTAAATTAAATAGAAGATTTTATAAAAAATTCTTTAAAAAAATAAAAAAGTTAAAATAATTATAAAAATCAAATTATTTTATAAAAAATTATTATTTAAAATTCAAAATCAAAATTATAAATATTAAAAAATATAAAAAGAAATATTATATTAAAATAAAAAAATTGAATTTACTTATTTAAAGGTAATCATATAAGATTATTAAAGTTTAATAATTAAGTAAATAAAAAATTTATCTAAATATTACTAAATAATAATATATTATTACAATGAATTTAGTAAGTGAGTTTTCACTTGAATTTATCTTAATAAGATTAGATTGAAAGAAATTGAATTAATTAATAAATAAAGAGAAATAAATTAGACTATAACTTTATATTGAAAAGATTTCTAAGATCTGTATCAATATCTATAAATATTATTTTTAAAGAGACAAATTATAAAAGAAAAGAATAATATAAATCAAAAAAAATTATAATAATAAGTAAAGCTACTATTAATTAATAAAATTAAAGATTTATAATAATTAATAAGTAAAGTCATTATTAATCAAAGAAAACCATAACTGAAAAATATAATAACTTATATAAACAAAAATGTAAATCAAAACAATCAATTAAAAAGTATAATAACTAATATATACAAAAATATAAATCAAAATAATAAATTAAAAATCAAAATATCAAATCAAAGTATAATTTATTTTAAATAGAGTTCTTTTACTAAGATGTATTAATATAAATTAAAAAAGAATTAACTATTAAATTTATATTTTTCAAGTCTGAATTTATTTTATTTGAGAGAGCAGATTCTTTTATACATTTTTTAATTATATAAATTATTAAAGTATTATTAATTAATTCTATCTAATATATAATGTCTAACAAAAATTTCCCTATATTTCTAACTCAACATAGAGATATAATAAGAAAAAAAAGTTTTTTTTATTTGAAAACATATAATTTATATAAAAATTAATATATAATATAATTATTCTCAGCTTTAATTAGAATCTTCATGTGATTTTTCATACTCTTTATCAAATTAACTATATACTTTTTAGGTAATCAATTCTATTCCTATGTTATTTCACTCTTTAAATCTCTAAGTATTCTAATATTTTTTTTTATTAGATTTATTTTTATAAGTCCTAGATATTCTTAATCAGATTTTGATTAGACAATATCAATAACTAGAGAAGAACTTTGATATTATTTTCTTCTTTTTATGTCTTTGTAATTTTTGAATAGTATTTTGAGTTATTATCTTTTTACAGAATCTAACTATCATAATCTTTACCAAAAAGATTCTTAGTAGAAGACAAAAGAGCTGTTTCATATAGTATGATTATATATTATGTATTAAGATTATATATAAAGTATACTAATCTTCTAAAGTCTAAAAAAATAATACTATACATAAATCTTTAATAGATACTTGACAAAACAGATTATTTTTCTTGCTCTAGTAAACTGTTAAGTTTTTTTTTTAGTTATTAATTCAAGTAAAAAATACTTTTATCAGTTAATATCATGAAATTTCAATTGAAATTCTTATTCTTCTTTGCCCATGAGAGATATTTTTTTAATACTTTACTTTAAGTAAAGACTTTACAAGTTTTTTATAATAATAGGCTTCACCTTTATTAAGATATCATTAAATAATATATACATAAATATCTATATTCTGCTTTAGAAATTTATGATAGATTTCTAGAGCAGTAATATTTATATTTTCTTTTATTAATTTCAAAATCTATTTGTCTTGTCTTTTGATAGTGACTTTTTAATAATCTAATTTTGATTTGTCACTTAGATCTTTATTTTTTTACCATCTTTTTACCTATTTTTGAATTATTTTTTTATAATAATAAATCTGCTTTATTATCTCACATATTAAAAGCTTGAAATCTTTTAGATGAGTGGCTAAAAAGATAATTTCATATCATTTATATAAAGAAAGAGATATTTTTTGACTAAAAAAATTATTATATAAGCAACATAGATATTTTTGCTATATATTCTATCTAAAGAAGTTTAATATAATTAGCATATGTAATATACTATATTCATGAAAATTTCATATATTTATATATGATCTTCCAGAAATTACAGATGCAAAAAAAATTTTATTAGGTATTATACATATTATAATCTTTTATAATTGAAATATTATAACTGAAATATCAAGATTTTTATATAATTAAGATTAAAATACTATATATTAAGATTTTTTTAGAAGAATAAAATATAAAAAAAGAGATCTATAACTATATTAACTAATTAATTTCTATATATATAAAATATTAATATAATATAATATATTTGTAATTAAAAAAGTAAATCTCAAATTTAGAATATAAATATAATATTTAGAAAATAAATATAAAGAGTAATAACAAAATAATATAAATTATATAATAAATTATAGAGTGAAAAAAGAGTTTTATATAACTAAAAAAAAATTATTAAATTAAAAAAATTTATATTATTATAGTAATAATATTTAAAAATTTTATTAATAATAATTTTATATAAAAAAATAAATTAAAATTTAAAAAACTAATTTTATAATTATAAAACTAATAAATAAATAAAATTAATAGTAATTATAATAATAAAAATTAATAAATTAAAATTAAATACTTATATATATATAAAATAAATATTCAAGTTTTAAAATTATAAAGATATAACTTGATACTTAATAAATCTTGATTATTTTATATTAATTTACTTATAAATTTAGAAAAATAATATTATTACTAATAATAAATATTATAATTTTTAATTAACTATTATAACTATATAATTTTTAATTATTATTAATTTTACTAAATTATAATTATTCATAATTTAAAATTTACTAATTACAAATATATAATACTTATTTATTATCTTATTAAAAATATTATTATTAATATCATTTTTAATTATAAATTAAAAGTCATTAAAATTA